AGCCTCAGAGATGTCAGGAGTCCTCTGGATCCCCATATGGGCCAACACATTATGTTGACCTTAAAAACATAGCTGTCGATTATTTTGCCAGCAGATAAGGGGTTTCAGAAACAGTCAAAAAATGCAGTTTAAGACAAGCTGTAGCAAAAGTCATTGGCAAGATTTATAAGTAAAAGAGAGGAACGTTATGTTACGTAGAGAAAGGAGGAAGTTGGGAGGGATCATCTCAACAGAAAGTGCACGGGAGGAAACCATCAGGGTGACGATGCAGTAGCAGCTAAACTGACTCTGCTCTGTGAACCCCTGTACTCAAATTTGATGTTATTTTCACGCAAAATACTTGTAGGTTTTTCCAGTATGTCTAAATGTATTTACTTTTGCTTGGTTTTATCTCGTCTTCCTATTTCTGAAATGTTTTTACACCTGAGTTACTTCAACATACCTATTGCTCATAACGCCACTACTTTGAGATGTGAAATTCTCCAAGTGTGTTTTCCAGTATACTTATGTCATTTGTTGTAATTAAATATTTCAGCCCTCTGGGACTTATTTTGTGTCTATGAGTTGCGTGGTCAGAATTTACTGACTTAAGTCTCCACGTAATGCAATGCAGTCATGACCGCATCCTCACTGCTTATGCAGCTCTATCTGAAAGTGGGTTTCAAAAGGGGAGTGGGGGGGGGGGCACGGACAGGTCTAGATGTAAGTTGGGGATCCCGAACATAGTCTAGTGGAACAAAGACACTTTGTCAGGCGGCAGGAGGCCCACGTCCACCCTAAGGTCCGGCCCCGGCTCGAAGATCCCAGGTCCTGCTGAATGGATTCCTCACCAGCTGCAGGACAACCAGCCTCGGAGCTGCAGGCTGCGGTGACTGGCGGTAGGAGACCCAGGGTAGCCAATCCCCGCGGGGCGGGGCGGGTCTTCCGCTGGCCAGTCCGGAACCCAGGGGGCTCTGCCCCTCTGCCCCGCCCTTTCAGCTTCTTCTGACCGCCCATTGGCGGGCAGGGCCCTGGAATCCCAGCACTGATTGGCCGCTATCCAGGATGAAACCTCCCCCCCTCAGGGCGGGAAGCTCCGGAGCCCAGAGCAGAGCTCCGCGGAGGTGGGCGGTGCGGCAGGGTCCCCGGGAAATTGACCGGTAAGCGGGGAGCCTCGCTGCGTGGACCCCTTAGCCCGAGACCTTCAAAGTCCAGCCTGAGAGACCCCAGATGCCCTCACCATGAGGGGCCCCAAACCCCGTCAGCATCGAGGGGCCCGCGTCCGCCAACCCGGAGGACCCACATCTCCTGACCCCCAACGCCTAGACCCCAAACAGCCCGAAAACCCCAGTTCCCCTCGGCTCGGGGCCCCCAACCTGCAGCTCGCCCGGAAAGACCGAATCTCCCCAAACTCAGACGCTAAATGTCGTCGTCCTGGGACCCTGAAGCCCCTTGATGGGAGGCTCCAAATCTCCGCAGCCGCAGGGTCTGACCGTCCCCCCGGCCTCAGTGTCCTCAGCCCGGAAGACGCCCCGGGCCGTCCAGCCCCTCCTCGCTCAGGGCCCCGCGCCCCCCTCTCCCGGCGGCCTGCCACCCTGCCGCCCAGACAGCCAGGAGAAAGCTGGTCAGCCCTCAGCGCCTTCTCCTTCCACAGGCACTCGGAGGACTCGGGGCTGGGACACCATGAACCCCGACAGGGGCCCGCAGCACAGCCCCGAGGGAGAAGCATGGCGGACGCTGCAGGTGAGCTGAGCGGCTGGCGGGGAGCGTGGGACAGGGCTCCGCAGACGCCCGGGCCTCGGGGTGACCCTGGCTGTGCGGGTGCAGAGCGCTGGTGGGAGAGAAGGGACTCCGCGGGGCAGGGCCGGTCAGGGTGTTCCGGAAAAACAACTCAGCCGCTTTCGGGTGTACGGAGTGGGACTTTTTTTATGCATGCGGACCCAGAGGAGGCAATCTCCAAATTCTGGGTCCCGAGCTTGGGCAGGGGCTTGTTTTTATAGTGTGGCATGCTGAAGCGATTTTACTAAGCCTACGAGCAGAAGCAGGTTTACAGAAGCAAGAAAGCAGGGCTGCTGAGAAAGCAGGACTGCTGATAGTGTTACAGGAAAATGAAGCAACCAGACACCGAGGGTTTCTGGAGTACGAGGTTTATTAACGTGCACGGGTCCAGGGGAGTCAGTCTCCAAATTCTGAGCCCCGAAGAAAGGATTCTTGGGGTTTATATAGTCTACGGGGTCTTCCCGTCTACGTAGCAAAGCGGGATACAGAAACGGAATACAGAAGTTAGTTCTAACTAGTGGCAAAAGCAGAGTACAAAGGCTAAATGTGGAAATTAGTTGTAGCTGCAGGGGTGCTAGCCCCAGCCCTTGTGACTGTCCTGCTGTTTGCTTTTCCCAGACGGCCTTATCGCTCTCCCAGGGCGCTTGGGGTTTGGGTGAACAAAAGTTTTCCAAAGCTTCCCACATCAATAGGGTCATCCAATGTTCTTTTGTTCGTACTTCTTAGTTACTTAGTTGCTCACCCCTCCTTATCTTAGTGGCTCAGCGTGTCCTTCTGACTTGTCTGGGCTTGTCTGAGCAGGTCTCCTGCTACAAGGGAAGTGGGAGAAGGCCCAGAGTGTGAGCAGACCCGCAGGACGGACGCACCCGGAGGAACAGCCGCTCAGGGACCTGGGAAACGACTCAGACAGGGATTCAGTGCTTGCAGCACAGGGACCACCGAGGCCCCGCCTGCTCCCTGCAACCGGGGGCTGTGCGCGTTCTTACTACATCACCGAGTTACTGTGTTTCCACTCTCCAGGCAGAAGAAGCTTCGAAAGACGCTTCCCTCTACTTCTCCAGGGAGGAGTGGGCAGAGATGGGAGACCGGGAGAGAAGCCGGTACCAGAATGTGAAGAGGAACTTCAAGGTGCTCCCCAACCTAGGTAGTACACAGGTTCTGGGGCCAGGGACCTGGTGAACCTCCCAGGCTGCTGAGCTGGCTCCAGCTCAGGCGGCTGCATTGGCCTGCAGCTCCCTCCTGCAAGGACACCGATCAAGGGGTATTTGCTCCTTGTGTCAGAGCAGGGCTGGTGCTGATGGTGTGGCACTCACAGCAACTCCTTGTAGACTCTCCCATCCCATCAGAGTCGGTCACAGGGGCTTCCTGGAGCTTCTTCCTCCTCCAAGCCCTGGGCTTTCAGGACAAAGGTTTTGTCTCTTTCCAGGTCTCAGAGCCCCTCGACCAGCTTTCCTGTGTCACCACCGCGGGCGGGCCACCGAGCTGGAGGAGGAGGACCCTGAGGACTCGGATGAAGAATGGGCTCCAAGGCGACGAGGTGAGGGGCAGGAGGAGCCAGAGCCGCCCTCCTGACAGGAACCTGGTTTAGGTCAGGCTGCATCTCAGGAGTTAACCACTGAGCAGGGTTTGCTTGTCCAGTGAACACACAGGATGCAGAACAGTGTGTGGTACAGTGAGGGGATACTCCTATAAACTTTCAACTGTGCAAAATCATCATAATATATTTATAGACACATTAATAACTAGTAAATGTATAAGAGCATACAAGTGAGTAAGAAATAACTAATTCAGAATAGTCATCTCAAGAGAGGGAGGCAGGTCTGGCAGGCGAGGACTGTTCGGACGCCTGGCTGCCCGATGGCTGCATGGAGACAGATGGGAACAGTATTAACATGGTGATGACGGGGGCTGCGGGGAGGGGCCAGGGTAGTGAGTAGTTTTATCACTGTATCATTTCCTAATGTCGGCCATGATGCCGTTCCATCCTGTATCATGAGTGTTTGTTTGATTGGTGGGGTCAGTCCACTTTCATGGGTCTCAGGTTGAAACACAGATGAAGTCAAGATGTGATCTTCAACTTGACTGGAATTCTGTTTCTGTGGTCATCAAACTGTGGATGCCGACCAGAGTCTAATGATAAGGAAGGGCGTGGATGGCCAGTGTGTGCACAGGGGGGAGGATACCAGAGAAAGTAGGCGAGGGGTTGGTAGGGCCGTTAGCCTGGTCAAGGCCAGTTTGAATGAAGACAACAGAGCAGAGAAAGGGTTATGTTGAAGACATGGAGTTTCTGTGCAGTTACTTTTATTAAATTTTTGTCAGGAGAGGCCAATGTATCTTTTAATAAATTATAGTAGATGCTTTATGAACATAGGGTGCAGTGTAGATGACATTTGTCAGTTTTATTTTATCATTCTAATGAAATTAGTGGAGGGCCCTAATAGAAGCATAGACTTTAATGATACCTCAGAAAATGTTTTCCAATCATCCTAGGATTGTTCTTGGACTACTCTCATTCAGAATTCTGTGTCTCTAATAAGAATCTCCACATTTTGGAAACATTTACAAACGAAAACACTGATTTCTCATCATCTTTCAGTGAAACCTTCTTGGGTGGCCTTCAAAACTGCACAGAGAAAACTTCAGAAGGTGAGTATTTCCCAAATCCTGTTGACAAGAAAATTTTCCTCATGGATAGAAATGCAGGTAAGAGTAGGGAAATGCAGAAAGTATCCTAGGAACTGCTGCCTTCCTTTTCTGGTCTCTTCAACACATTCTCCAATATTACCATCTTTTTTAAAAAATATATCTTATTGATAATGCCATTACAGTTGTTCTATTCCCCCCCTTCATTTCCCTCCACCCTGCACACCCCCTCCCCCACCATTCCCCCCCCTTTCGTTTATGACCACATGTCTCAACTTCTTTAGATTCTATATCTCCCCTACTATTCTTGCCTTCCCCCCTATCTATTTTCTACCTACCGTTTATGCTACTTATTTTCTGTACCTTCTTCCCCCTTCTCCTTCTCCCACTCCCCTGTTGCTAACCCTCCATGTGATCTTCATTTCTATGGTTCTGCTCCTGATCTAGCTATCCTCTTAGTCTGCTTTTGTTTTTAGGTGTGGTTCCTAATAACTGAGTTTGCTCTCCTTTCACTGTTCGTCTTTTTTGTCTTCTTTTTCTTGGATAAGTCCCTTTAACATTTCATATAATAAGGGCTTGGTGATGATGAACTCCTTGAGTTTGATCTTATCTGAGAAGCACTTTATCTGTCCTTCCGTTCTAAATGAAAGCTTTGTTGGATAGAGCAATCTTGGATGTAGGTCTTTGGATTTCATGACTTGGAATACTTTTTTCCAGCCCCTTCTTGCCTGTAAGGTCTCTTTTGAGAAATCCGCTGACAGTCTGATGGGAACTCCTTTGTAGGTGACTGTCCCCTTAGCTCTTGCTGCTTCTACAATTCTCTCTTTCATTTTAATCTTGGCTGATGTAATGATGATGTGCCTTGGTGTGTTCCTTCTTGGGTCCAACTTCTTTGGGACTCTCTGAGCTTCCTGGATTTCCTGGAAATCTATTTCTTTTGCCATATTGGGGTAATTCTTTTTTATTATTTGTTCAAATAAGTTTTCCACTTGTTGCTCTTCCTCTTCCCCTTCTGGTACCCCTATAATTCGGATGTTGGAGCGTTTAAAGATGTCCTGGAGGTTCCTAAGCCTCTCCTCATTTTTTTGAATTTGTGTTTCTACATTCTTTTTTGTTTGGTCATTTTTTTCCTCTTTCTGGTCCACTTTTTGACTTGAGTCCCAGTTTCCTTTTTAATACTATTGTTTTCCTGTGAATTTCCATTCATTTCAATTAGTTTAGCTTTCATATGTTCCTCTAATTTGTGACTAAAATCAACCAGTTCTGTGAGCATCCTGATCACCAGTGTTTTGAACTTTGCATCTGATAGTTTGGCTATTTCTTCATCACTTAGATTTATCAGCTCTGGGGCTCTAAGTTCTTCTTGAGCCATGTTTTGATTTGTTCGTGCCTGTTATGTATGAGGAGCGGAGCCTTAGGTGTTCACCAGGGCAGGGCCACCCAGGTCACTGGTTTGTGACCCCGTATGTGGGGGCGGGGTCAGAGAGGGACAATGGTGGTCCCCTCTACCGCTTCCTACCACTGGGGCCTGCAGGGTCTGTCTCACCGCTCGCTCCTTCACCAGTTTATCTGCTCGCGAATGTAGGACCATGGTCAGCCCTCAGTGGGTCTAAGGCCTTGCGCCCTCAGTGGGTCTGCCCGCTTCTCCACACCTGGGATCTGCCTACGGCTGCTGGCGCACCTGGGTCGCACGCCCGGGTTGGTCTGGTGGATCTTTTCTGCCTGACCCCGCTCTACTGCTGGCTCTTACCGTTTTGGCTGAAGGGTTCGTTGTTGTCAGACTTCCGTATAGTTCAATGTTCTGTGATTTTGGCTGGGTATTTTTGCTAAAACCTTGTTGTTTTTAAACTTGGTTGTGTGAGGAGGCACAGTGCTTCCATCTACGCCTCCATCTTGGCGGAAGTCCCCAATATTACCATCTTTTTTAGTGATTTTATTTATTGATGTTTTAGACAGAGGGGAAAGGAGGGAGAAAGTGAGGGAGAAAAGCATGTGGGAGACACACCTGTATGGGTTGCCACTCACCCACCCCCAAGCAGGGAACCTGAACTGCAACCCATGCATGTGCCCTGACTGGGAATGGAACTGGTGACCTTTCGGTCTGCAGGCCAGCGCTCAATCCACTGAGTCACACCAGCCAGGGCTCCTCATCATCTTAATAGTTAACAACTACAGCGATAATAGTAACTACCATTTGTTTCATTCTCACAATGTTTCAGACTAAGAATTCTATGTGAACTCACTCAAACATAACAACAACAACCCGATGAGGTATGTACTATATAACTGTCTCCATTTACAGTGAGGAAAGTGATCTTTCAGAGAAGTAAAAATGTTTGACTATATGTCTAAGATCACAGTATCAGTGGTAGTGCAGTCTGACCCATAGTTGCTTCTCTAAAACACTTACGAACTCATTAAAACTTCCAGAGTTTTGCCCTGGCCACCGTGACCAGTTGCTTGTCATGCTGCAAAGGGGAAGATCGCCAGTTTGATTCCTGGTCAGGGCACATGCCTGGGTTGTGGGTCAGTTTCCAGGTTGGGGTGTGTGTGAAAGGCAGTAAGTGATCAATGTTTCTCTCTCTTTCTCCCTCCCTTCCCCTCTCTCAAGAGAATGAACAAAATCTTTCTTAAAAGTTAGAAAAATAAACTTTTACAGTTTCTAAATTTTACATTATCTTATCCATATGTCATTATATCATTCATCTGAATGATGGTTTCAACCAAAGTTCTCTGCTATGCTGAAGTGAGAGATGCACTAAGACCCTCTGAATAAGGAAAGTGTACCATGTGTAGGCAACTTGTGCAGTGGATGGACCCAGATGAAGAGGAATGTAAAGTATCCAGGATCACAGCCTCCCACTCTAATCAAAAAAAGCATCTCCCACCCCTGAGGGGCTTGAGGTTTGATAACTGAGAAACAACAAATAATAAAATGACTTAAGGACTTCATATAGGTTGCACACTCTTCTATAGAAACTCATCCGTCCGGAACTGATCTCAAATGGCCTTTCCTATAGGGTGAAGTGGCAGCTTCTTTGTTCCATTGGGACTCCTTCTGAGTTCCAGTGAGGCTGCTCTCATCCTATTTAGAGTCATTTGTTCAACCCACCTCTCTCTGTGTTCTGTGAGCTCTTTGAGAGTCTGGTCCATACCTGAGACTTCTCAGAAGTCACAGGCCCAAATCAGGGCCCCTGAGGGCCTCCAAATGTTTGCTTCATGAATGATTTCACAATTACAGATTAAACTAGAAGATGATCAATGAATGCTGAAGGTAATTTCTGTGAGATGTGAAATATGGAGAGAGCCGAGAGGTAAATTGATAGGACTATAATCTCACATTCATACTGTATTACACAATTCCCAGAACACTTTCATGAGCATTATTTAATTGCACATTCACTGTAACATTGAAAATTAGCATGTCAGAGTTCATGAAACTGAAGACAACTAGCTACTGATACAAACTTATTCAAACAATTGGTGGGAACCAGCTACCCTAAGTACAAATATTCTTTCTAAGGTACTGCAAATTTTATCACCATTTTACCTATTGTCTAGATATGTTTCTGCCAACTGTTTCTTTATTCTCTTCCCAATATCCTTCATTCTCAATATTATACAAAAGAAAAGAGCCATAAGACATGAGTTCTAATCTTGGATTCATTATCCACATTGGCCCTATCCCCTCTAATATTCATACTCCCTAGGTATTTCCAAAGGTTGAAGTATTAAAGACATGCATATAAAATATACCATAAACCTTAACAAGTTAAATACATGTTATCTTTTAATATGTGACTCTTATATTGAAGGAAACATCCAAGATACCATTGAGCAATGAATGTAGTTTGAAGGATTTGTCAGGAACAGCAAATTTGAGGACTGCAAGTGACTCAGAGCAGGCCCAGAAACTGGTGTCCCCTCCTGGAGAAGCATGTGCCTTTGGAAAGCACACAAGACAAAAATCGGGTAAGAGAAAATAATTTGGAAAATTTAGTTCCTCTAAGTCATATAGAAGGGCTGATAAGTATGACCTAGGTATGTGAGGTGGACTGTGGATGGGCCCGGATTTAAGGTGGGCTAAGCTGAGACTGAAGTTAGCAATGGAGCTTTGGGCAAATCCTATAAATTCTCTGAGCTCCTGAATGCTAATGTGTAAAATGAAGATAAGGAAACATCACTCATATATATTGTTTGAAAACATTAAAACAGTTGACACATGCAACTTGTGCAACAAATCCATGTGTGATAATAGCAACCACACGGTGCTGGTGTTGTGTACCCAGGCCTTTACTCAATGCCTAAGACATACTGTGCACTTCATAAATATTTTATGAATGATTATAGGTTGGCAAATTAAACCTGGTAATGGGAAGATCTAGAAACTAAAATTGAATCAGTCATCTGTAGTTAGTGTGGAGTCTTCATCTTTTGATCCAATAGCTAACAGAGTAAAACACCAGGGTGTGCAAAAGGACAGGTGATAATTTGATGGGAGTAGATTGTGTTATTTGATAAAATGAGAACTAACACCCCAGATCCTACCAACCTCACCCACCTGGCCTTCAACTCAGAACTCAGGAGAAAGGACATTGACGTGAAGATGTATAGCCAACAAGAAAGAAAGGTCCCTGTGCACCAAGAGGTCAACGAACCCCAGGATGATGACTACCTTTGTAAGTGACCCTCACGAAGAAGCATGTTATGTATGATACAATAATTCCACCTGGTCCTTTGGTCCCCAAGTCATTCCCCTTCCTTAGTGACCTGGAGTACAGGACTGAGTCTCAATGATGTCAGTGCTGGATTCCCTCTGAAGCTCTTTGTGTCCAGGAACATGCGCTATACTTCCCTAACCCCTGTCATTCTCGCCTTCAGATTGTGAGAAGTGTCAGAACTTCTTCATCGACAGCTGTGCTGTGCATGGGTCCCCTACATTTGTAAATGACAGTGCAGTGGACAAGGGGCATCCCCACCGCTCAGCCCTCACCCTGCCCCCTGGGTTGAGAATCGGGCCATCGGGCATCCCTGAGGCTGGGCTTGGAGTGTGGAATGAGGCAGCTGATTTGCCAGTGGGTCTGCACTTTGGCCCTTATGAAGGACACATCACAGAAGATGAAGAGGCAGCCAAGAGCAGATACTCCTGGCTGGTGAGAACTATTTACCTCTTCTACTGTCCTCTGGCTTCCCACATTCCTTCTGAGGCTTGGAGAGACCTCACTTCCTACATGCTAGACATGGAGGGGACGATGTGGTTAGTTCTGTGTACTGACTGGACTTCACATGAACACAGAGCTCCTGTTGAAGGATCAGAAGGTAAATGGGAGCAAAGTGATACAGACACAAAGGAGTGGCTCCTCCCTTGTGAGGGTCCTGCTGTGATTGGACAGGTATACTCAGGTGTGTAGGTGATGAGTAAGAAAAATATCATGTGATCACAGCTGGCAGTTGAATCCCCATTCAGGTGGAAAGAGCTCTGATGACAATAGAGTAGCATAACTCTCCTGACTGTTACCTCCCCACAAAAAAGAATAACAGATCTTTATCTTCTTTTCCGAAACACAGATCGCCAAAGGGAGAAACTGCTATGAGTATGTGGATGGAAAGGACAGGTCCTGGGCCAACTGGATGAGGTGAGGCCACCAGGTCTCTGGGTGCCAGAGGGGACTCTCATCCCCCACAAGCCCATATATCTGTCCCTCTCATCATGCCTCCCTCAGTGGTCTCCCTTAATCCTTTTTTCCCTCTTTTTCTCCATACAGTGTTCTTTCATTTAGGTGACTTTTAGGAGAAAAGTATAGCACATGTCCTCAAAATATAAAATTCTCTGCTAGACACAATGTGGACACTGGAAAGGGCCTTGAAGAGCCTAAATTTACAGGGACACTCGATTACTTTATCAAATGAACATTAATTAAGCACTTACTATATTCTGCTTATGGTGAAGGAATACATTCCTTCAGATCACACAACCCATGTCCTTATGAAGGACTTCTTGCAGACAGACGTAAAACAGTTGCTTTTAGAAACATTTAACTATAATTTCCAAGAAGTGCACAGAGTTAAGATAGCACAAACCAAGGGTTGCGTAAACCCATGAGGGCAGCAAACCATCCTGATGTTACTTCTAACTAGAGCTGGGCTCTGGGGCCTGCAGAGGAATGGTCATGGGCCCTTTCCTGAGAGGGGCTCTCTTTTATCAGGGATAACAGAATGTGAATCAACCACTATCGTTTTGTTTTGTTTTACTAAGACAAAAAAACCTCCAATTTTCTATGGTACTTTTGGGCAGGCAAGTGAATGGTACCCTAAATAAAGTGTAGAAGGGTTGGAGAAAAGCCTCTCAAGAGAAAACAGACGTGGGTTGAGTACTGCATAATTAGTGAGCTAATTCAGAAGCAGAGCCCTAGATCAAGCACCAGGTTCTGTGGTTTAGAGTTTGGAGAATCCAGTATCACTGGATATTATGGCCAATCATGGTGGAGGTTAAGTCTAGAACTGGGTGTTAGAAAGTAGTATTAGGCAGGATGAACACTGCAAGCAGGACTTGGACGTAAGAATTCACATGACATGCTGGCAGACGCTCAGGCACTGAACAAAGATTCCCTGGAAGCATTAGGGGCCGTGGGCAACACCAGAGCCTGAGGGCCTTAAGAATCAATGAGGAGGTGGACATGGATGTAACAGGTACTGAGAATTCATCACTGTGCTTTTCTTTCCCGTCATCTGCCTCAATCCCAGGTTTGTGAACTTTGCCCGGGATGATGAAGAGCAGAACCTGGTGGCCTTTCAATACCACGGGCAGATTTTCTACCGAACCTGCCGGGTCGTCAGGCCGGGATGTGAGCTGCTGGTCTGGTGCGGGGACGAGTATGGCCAGGAGCTGGGCAGCAAGTGGGGCAGCAAATGGAAGAGAGAGCTCATGGCCAGAAGAGGTGGGTACCACTGTTCTTCAAAACAGAAAGAAAGGAGAGAATTCTCTATAGAAACATTTATGATGCAACTCTTAAGTACAGTAAAATCTACTCTAAAGTCAGTAAAGTCTCAAATCACATGCTTCAGAAATTCGTATGCCTTTGACTCTTAAGCAAAATTTTTATTTTTAAAATATTTTGTACACAAAATACACAACTGCGTGTAGTGCTGAAAGACTGAGAGGCAAAAAAGAAAAGTTTACAAGCACTAACCAGTTCTCTCACCCAGGCAGTTTTTCTGACACTTTTATAGTTGTTGTTTCTTCTTAATTTTCCTTCATACTTCTAAATAAAACATTTTTGTTTGTAGGCATTCATTATTTTTTAAAGATTTTGTCCTGGCTGGTGTGGCTCGGAGGATGGAGCACCAGCCTGTGAACTAAAGGGTCACCAGTTTGATTCCCAGTTGGGGCATATTCCTGGGCTTTGAGCCAGGTCCCCAGTACGGGGCATGTGAGAGGCAACCACACATTGATGTTTCTCTCCCTCTCCCTCCCTCCCTTCCCCCTTTTCTGAAAATAGATACATAAATAAAAAATTTTAAACAGGATTTTATTTATTTTTACACAGAGTGGAAAGGAGGGAGAAAGAAAAATCAATGTGCAAGGGAAACATTAACCGGTCGTCTCTGGCACACCCCCAACTGGCCCCCAACCCTGGCATGTGCCCTGAGTGGCTATCGAACTTGTAACCTTTCAGTTTTCAGACAACACCCAACCCACCAAGCCACACCATTCAGGCAGGGCGCATTCATTCATCATTTCAGTGAATTATCATGAGAGATCCTACTCTGTGGTGCACAGTGTCCTGGGACCTGGAGATACAGGTTAATATGAGGATCAGAATCACTGCTCTTGAGAAGCTGACGGGTGAAGGAGGGAAACCCAGGCACACGTGCTTCTGTGTGCATAACACCACACAGCGGTTAGTGCTTTGGAGAAAACTAATGCAGGACAAGGGCCCAAAGATCAGTGTGAGGGGAGGTGCCGTGTGGCAGGTGGTCGGGGAAGGGCTCTCAGGAGACAGCATTTACAAAAATACCTGCGGGCAGAGGATCCCAGGCAGAGGGAGCAGCTAGTCCAGGGAAGAAAAACGGTGTGGCATTGAATTGGATGAGGCTCACTCAGGTCTCGTCTCAGCACAGAGGGTAAAAACAGATCGGACAGATGCTTAGCAGCCCGGAGGTGCAGTGCCGATGATCCGAGTTGAGACACTGGGGACTTTCCTGAGTGAAAGTGTGCAGTGGTCAGCTGTACAGTGGTGTGTTCTCTATTCTGATTATGCTTTGTTAATTTTTAGAAGATAAACTCCAGTGGGGAATCCCCTCAGATTACTTCATCTCCAAGTGAGAGAGCATGGTAGATTGCTCAGAGAGAAACAGAAGTCAGACCTGAAAGAAATGTGGTTGAAATATTTTGAAACAGGTCTTCTTTGTGTATTTGAAATAGTCTAACTAAATGAGATGAAGCATAAATATTTGGTCTGAGGCTTGAGGAAGGACATTTCATTTTACTATTTTGGAAAACAGAGAAGCAGTTCCTAGTTGGAGCCTGTGGTTTTCCTCTGTAATGTGACTTAGAAGATACCTGTACATGGGAAAGGTCACTGCAGTTCCATCCACACAGGGAGTGAAATGGCCTCTCATGCTCCAAAAGTCCCTAGTCTGGGCAATATTAGAAAAGACCCTTGGTGTGGGTTTTCTGGATTTCTGAAGAGGATGCACTGCATAAAAGTAAACAGGAAAATAGACGGGGAGTGGACACTGGGATATAGAGGTTGCGTTGTCACCACAGTAAGAGGGACTCACGGGGCAGGTCTTACCAGGAGACTAATCATACAGCCCAGGCATTGTCCTCAACATCTGCCCTGACCAAACCTTCCTCTTTCAGCAGAACCAAAGCCAGAGGTGCACCCATGTCCCTCCTGCTCTCTGGCCTTCTCCAGTCAGAACTTACTCAGCCAACACGTGAAACTCCGTCATCCCTCTCAGATTCTCCCAGGAACATCTGCAGGAAAACACCTCCAAGCAGAGGAACCCTGTCCAGGGGATCAGAATCAGCAGCAGCAACATACTAGTACACACAGCTGGAATGATACAGCTGAAGGTCAAGAGATCAAAGAAAACTCCAAACATTTGCTTAAAAGGATCAGTCAGAGGAGAATCTCAAAACCCCTTTTCCAACCTTCCAAAGAACAAATGAGCTCTAGTGAGCACGAGAGAGTGATGGAAGAAGAGCCCCGGAGAGGCCAGAAAGAGAATCCAGAGGAAACAGGCAAGTTCTTTGTGAAAGGAGGAATGTCAAAAATGGTAACAATCGAGCATGGAGGGTATTGGCAAAGCATTGATGATGGATCACATCTCATCACACATCAGGGGACACACTCTGGGGAGAAGCCCTATGTTTGCAGCGAGTGTGGGACAGGCTTTACACACAAGAAAAATCTCATCAGACACCAGAGGACACACTCAGGGGAAAAGCCCTATGTTTGCAGGGAGTGTGGGAGAGGCTTTACATGCAAGTCAAATCTCATCACACACCAGAGGACACACTCAGGGGAAAAGCCCTATGTTTGCAGGGAGTGTGGGCGAGGCTTTGCACACAAGAAAAATCTCATCACACACCAGAGGACACACTCTGGGGAGAAGCCCTATGTTTGCAGGGAGTGTGAGCGAGGCTTTACATGCAAGTCAGATCTCATCACACACCAGAGGACACACTCTGGGGAGAAGCCCTATGTTTGCAGGGAGTGCAGGCGAGGCTTTACAAGCAAGTCACATCTCATCAAACACCAGAGGACACACTCTGGGGAGAAGCCCTATGTTTGTAGGGAGTGTGGGCGAGGCTTTACATGCAAGACAAATCTCATCACACACCAGAGGACACACTCAGGGGAAAAGCCCTATGTTTGCAGGGAGTGTGGGAGAGGCTTTACACGCAAGTCAAATCTCATCACACACCAGAGCACACACTCTGGGAAGAAGCCCTATGTTTGTAGGGAGTGTGGGCGAGGCTTTACCTGCAAGTCAGGTCTCATCACACACCAGAGGACACACTCTGGAGAGAAGCCCTATGTTTGTAGGGAGTGTGGGCGAGGCTTTACACAGAAGTCAAATCTCATCACACACCAGAGGACACACTCTGGGGAGAAGCCCTATGTTTGTAGGGAGTGTGGGAGAGGCTTTACATGCAAGACAGGTCTCATCAGACATCAGAGGACACACTCTGGGGAGAAGCCCTATGTTTGCAGGGAGTGCGGGCGAGGCTTTACATGCAAGTCACATCTCATCACACACCAGAGGACACATTCAGGGGAAAAGCCCTATGTTTGCAGGGAGTGTGGGAGAGGCTTTACACGCAAGTCAAATCTCATCATACACCAGAGCACACACTCTGGGAAGAAGCCCTATGTTTGTAGGGAGTGTGGGCGAGGCTTTACCTGCAAGTCAGGTCTCATCACACACCAGAGGACACACTCTGGAGAGAAGCCCTATGTTTGTAGGGAGTGTGGGCGAGGCTTTACATGCAAGACAGGTCTCATCAGACATCAGAGGACACACTCTGGGGAGAAGCCCTATGTTTGCAGGGAGTGCGGGCGAGGCTTTACATGCAAGTCAAATCTCATCACACACCAGAGGACACACTCAGGGGAAAAGCCCTATGTTTGCAGGGAGTGTGGGAGAGGCTTTACAAGCAAGTCAAATCTCATCACACACCAGAGGACACACTCAGGGGAAAAGCCCTATGTTTGCAGGGAGTGTGGGAGAGACTTTACACATAAGAAAAATCTCATCACACACCAGAGTACACACTCTGGGGAGAAGCCCTATGTTTGCAGGTGGAGTGAGTAAGTCATTAGCATTAAGTCACATATCAATAGCCATAGGAAGTCCACAGCACCTTACTCTCCCCAAGATTGTAATTAGTATACAAGTAACTGGTTAAACAAACCCTCCAATTTCAGTACAGGAGATGAAATGGACAAACAGTTCCATAGTGATATGGGGATGTCAGCACCAAACTCGTTCATGGTTTTTTGACCTATTCTAAAATGTTTTGTCTCCATACACATCTCTCATTTTCCCAATCACTGAAAGCAGAGGGTTCCTAAAGAGCCACAAAGAACTCAGCCGCTGAAATTCAACTACTGCAAATGTGTAAATGTGAAATCAGTCTACTTTTGTTACTCCCTGAACAGAGGGATTTGAGACAGACTCACCCAGGGAGGGAATTCCCCAGAGTCCTGGAAAGCGCCTTTTCTCCTAATCAGCTCCCTACCCCTCCTCCCTTGTCTTCTCTTGGCTCTTCTGCTTTCCTATAACCTCTGGAGTCTCAGAGGTGAATGGCAGGGAGAGATGGATGCCTGTGGGTAGACGTGAGCCGCTCAGTCTGGGCACTTGGTCTTCCTCACTCCTTGCTGCCTTTTCAGGGTCAGCATTTCCTGGTGCACAGCATACAGATTCCACATCAGTCCATACTGGGTGTGAATCTCAGCTCTGTTCTCTCCAGCTGTGTGACCTAAGGCAAGATTCTCAACTTCTCTCTGCCTGCTTCCTAGTCTGCGCAGTGGAAATGGGAACTCCAGCCTTTTGGTTTGACATTCGAAGTTGAGTCAGCACAGACAAAATCTGGCAAGAGGATCACTGAGGTCACAAGCCCTACTGAACAGCCTTCAGTGCCCATGTCTTCCTGGTCTTTAGTGGTGGACAAAGGAAGATTAGGACAGGGTAGGGGTCTGTAGCCAAATTCAAAATTTGAGCAGACCCCACTGCTTTCCCCACATAGACTGAGCTGCCCTGAGAAGGAAGCCTGAGGTTGGGGGTGTGCCTCCCCCTGATCACCACCCTCTCACTGAGCCTGGGCATCCTCAGAGCCTCCTCAACACAGGCAGGTGGTGCTGAGAGTGAGCTGTGAAACAAGACCCTCACCCACCCCTTGCTGAGAACTGACACTGGGAACAGCACCTGCCTGCACTGGGGTGTTAGGATAGATGGTGAGCCAAGGCAGGGAGGACGAGGAAGAGGAAGATGGGTGTCACCCAATGACTCTAGTCCTGTGCCTGGTCCAATTCCATTGTCAGATGTTCCAGCATCACAAGAAACACCATGCTAACACGTTGAAATTCTAGGTATTGTTTCCACTATCTGGGAAAGAAAGGCTTTCAAACTGTATTCATCCCAAGGCCTAGAAAATGGAAGGGTGTCTACAGCACTCACGGAAAGGACCCCTAAAACAAATCTGGTTAATTCCTTACCTCTGTCCACTGTCTTTTATGAGAGGGTCTCTAATGCTTACAGAAAGAGCCCATTGTTAGCTTTGGGTAACTGCCTCAACTTAAACTGTCTCCTGTCATGGATCTATTTTACAACATGACCAAGTGGGGTCAGAAGCAAGATAAGGGTTCAGGCTAACAACCCCCACACATACCTACGTTTGGGTAGTCCCCTTGGAAGTCCATCCCCTTGGAAGCTGGCACCACTTTTACCCACTAACTATATAAGTCCTTAGGACAAAGGGCCTGGTGCTCTTACCTTTCGCCCCCACCTCAGCAAGACCTGTCCTCTCCCATGAGAATGTGTCACTAATAAACCCTGCTTGCATGGCAATACACTTGACCTGTGATCCCTTACTGTGTTGGCAGGAACTGAGTTTCTCCTATGACAGGTGCACCCAATCTGCACATGGCATTCATGAAGCCTGCAACACAGCAAGTTCTGTAATGCACCCTCCTTGTGCCTGGGCCCCACAGAGTTTAATGCACCGCTGACACCATCTCAAAATGATTACTTATTGTATCTTTGAACTTGTTTGTGAAGTCTCATGGGATAATAGACATGCACAATGTTGGTCATTCTTGGCCACCCGTCCCCAGGTAATCTCCACAATGGCCCAGGAACACAAAATTCCCATGGACCCAATGGGTGGGAGTCCAACAGGACTCAAGGTGAGAACAGGGTAAACATCTACATCTGCATGAGCATAAGGAAGGGTGCCAACAGCTCCCAGAGGCCACACTTTTCTAAGAACCGGAGCTGAGTTCAATATACAGAGATGTCAAACATTTAGTGAGGACCCCATCAGACCCTCTCCTGCACGAGGGAGACCTACGCATGACCCACCCCATTCCTGCTGCAGTGGTTTCACCAAAGGGGGACAACAACCCCCATGACCTGGAAGGATGATCTCCGTGCCGCAGATCTAAAGTTCACCACCTCGATTATCAATCCGGGCATGTGCCTGAGTTGAAGGTTCAGTCCTCAGTTGGGGGCTTGTGAGATGCAACTAATAGATGTTTGTTTGGGGTTTTTTTTCTCTCTCTTTCCCCTTCCCATCTCCTGTGTAAAGTAAGTAAAATCTTTTTTTTTTTTTTTTTTTTCAAAAAGACACTTGAACAATAGGAAAGTAACAGCATGTTCTTGGAGAGATAAATATCTCCATTTCCCACGGTTACCTACAAATATAATATGATCTAGCTTAAAATATCAGGAAAAAAATTTTTATTCCTCACCTGAGGACATGCTTATTGATTTCGGAGAGAAGGGAAGGGAAGGAGAGAAACATCGATGTGAAAGAGAAACATCAAAGGGTTGTCTCCCCACTGGGCACCAAACCCACAACCTAGGCCTGTGCCCTGACTAGAGCTTGAACTACAACCTTTCGGTTTATGGAATTGTTATGGGAGAAACTCAGTTCTCCTTGCTGACACAGTAAAGAATTACAGGTCAGCCAGTCTATTCATGAGGAACCAGGGTTTACTAGTGATATGTTCTCATGGAAGAGAACAGGCCTTGCCAAGGTGGGGGTGAGAGGTGTAGATTCTGGGCAGGGCAAGGTAAGGATGGCAACAGTCAAGGGCAAGGGTGGCAAGAGCCTCAGGTCCTTGGTCCTGAGGAATTAGGTAGCTGGCAGGATTTGGGTGAAGAAGTGACATATTAACTGGTGGGTAAAGGTGCTACCAGCTTCCATGAGGGAAGTAACTACCCAAATGCAGGCATGTGTGGGGGTCTGTTAGCCTGAATCCTTATCTCACCCCAGGCCCCATTTGTTCCTCTTGTAAAACAAATACGTGACAGGAGCCAGGTGAAGCCAGGGCAGTTACCCAAAATTATAAATTATTTATGGGCTTTCTGTAAACATTAGGTACTCCCTTGTAAAACAGATAGTGACCATAAGTAGGCAAGTAACCAAAGTTGTCTTGTGGGCTTCTTTGGGCACTGTGGACACCCTCCCACCTACCAGCCAGACCTTGGAATTAACACACAGTTTAATTCTAAGGCTTTCCTTCCCAGAAAGTGGGAACAATACATAGAATTCCCTCCTCGTGCACTACCATGTGTTTCTTGTGACATTCTGAACACCTGGCACACCTGGCACTATTATCAAATCCGGCTCAGGACGGCTGAGTCAGGGGGTCAGACATGTCTCCCTCCTCCTTTCCTTAGTTTGCTATCTTTCCTACCTTACAGGACAATGCTCCAGCAGACTGAGCCACATTGGCCAGGGCTCAGCAAAATTTTTTAAAGTAAAACAAGCTCAGTTTCAGTTTACCTGTTAAAATAAGGAACAAGTAAAAGTTGTATTACAAAGCTGTGGGAAGTACAACAGTGGATTAATGCATCATGAATAGACAGATTGATGGAAAAGAATACTAGGTTCATTAATATATACAGATCCACATAGAAATTGTGTTTTACTTACTTTTTAAAATTTATTGACTTATTTTTCATTTGGAACATCTATCCTTTGCCTCTCGTATGCTCCCAACTGGTGACCTGGCCCACAACCCATCACAGGTGGGCACAGATAACCAGGTTCTTGATGATAGCAAACAAGGAATTGAACAGACCAAAGAGAGTTTATAGCAGACAGAGAGCAGATTTATTGATAGTACACTGTACGGAACACAGGAGCGGGCTGACTCCAAACAGGCTGATCTCAGGAGCTGGAGGGATTCTATACTTACAGGGTAATATTTCTTGGCTAGTTTTAGCAGGGTTTTATTGCCCATGTACAAGTAGTTCTATTACTTTAAAGCTACTACACGTGGTCTCCCATGATCTTCCTTGACTAACCACCAGGGAAGGGGGTCCCACAAGGTTGATTTATTACAATGCTATTATAATGAAGCAGGGGTCATGTAGCACCTTCTGTGCAGGTATAGTTATGATTCGCCATGATTCAGTGCTTTTCCAGAAAGCAGGAACAACTGGTCTTAGAACAGGGTCTCTGTCCTGTATTGGTGTCCTTTCTCTTAGCCCTGCCGCACCTCCAGAGTTTCCTCCTGACCATCTCCTGCCTCAAACCCAGGTAGGTGCTCTGACTGGGAATGGAACTGGTGACCTTTTGGTTTGCAGGCAGATAGATGCCCAGCCCACTGAGCCACACCAGCCATTGCTTGAGGCTTGCATGTGGCTTGACCAGGGATCAAACCTGCAGCCTTCTTGACTCCCCCCCCCAAAAAAAAACAACCCTGAAGAGATATAAAAAAAAACTTCACATGACCCTTGGCTGTTGTGGATCAGTAGACTGAGCACACAGGCTTGTGAACCAAACGGTCACAGTTGGATTCCAAATCAAGGCACATGGCTGGGTTGCAGGCCAGATTCTCAGTTTGGGGTGTGTGAGAGACAACTGATTGATGTATCTCTTACACACATCAGTGTTCTCTCTCTGTCTTTCTCCCTCCCCTCCCCCTTCTCTAACAAATTTAATTTTTTTAAAATAAACTTAACATGAGCAGCAAAATTGGATTCAACATTTAGGGATGACCCACTATACCCAACGTTTCCTTCTGATCTGCACCAAGGTGTTTTCCCAACGCGAACACCAGGTGGCAGAAGAGAGGCACACTTGGAACACTTTTTCAGTGGTCATGTACTGTAAAGCAAGTTTCAAAAAACTTCAAAACATTGAAATTATGGAAAGCATATTGCTGACACTAACTGAGGTCAACCTATTAATCAGTAACAAAGGGTTACTAAAAAGTCCTTTTTTTTCAAAGTGATGAAATGTACATCTAAATAACATTTGGTTCCACATTCCTAGCTGATACATTATGCCCACTTTTCCCTTGGACCTGCAATAAGGTGTCATTTCCTAAAATGACCAGGAGATGGCAGCAGAGACCGACAATGCAATGCATATCCTACTAAGGGCCTGGCTGAAAGATTCCTTCACTTTTTACCTTGAGTTACAAAGACGGGCACACTTTTCACTGTCCTCCCACAACAGAACTGAACAATGTCACCAACGTTTTCTTGCACTGCTCTCTGCCATCTTCACACAATTTCACCATTCCATCGTCCCACAACATTGTTTTCTTTCGAAGCAGAGAGCTCTTCCAGGTGTCTTATGCAGTCTTCCAGGGAACAGAAATTTTTCCCCATAAAGAAGAATTCAGAGAGACAAAATAGATGGCCATGGGAAGGAGCAAGGTCTTCTGAGTACTGCGGAGGAATCAGGACTGTGCAGCCAGGCTGGAACCGTTTTCCCTGGTCACCAAAGAGATATGTGCTCTCTCACCTAATCCTAACCTTCCGCACCTTCTGCTCCCAAATTCCGGACTCTTTCCCTCAGGTGGCACTTTCAGTTGGTCTGATGGGGAGCAGTACCCGTTGCCAGTAACCGGCTGGCTTTCCGAAACCAGCTCCTGCTGCAGGACTCCCTCTCCAATTCACCACAAGGGCACCATCACCTCCTTTGGGTGCAGACAGCCCTTTGGATGACCAAGTGGTATTTCCTTTGTTTGCCCACAATCTCTCTCATTCCACATAACTCTCAAATGGCAAACATTCATCCTCCCTCCACACACACGATCTTGATGGAAATTGAGCATTTCCCTTATGTTTCAGTGGAGAACCGCTTGTGGGAATCCACTCATGAAGGTCCCCCACCATCCTGCTGAACTCCTGTGGAGCCCAAACGGCAAAGCAATTCATGTAACCAAGCTGGTGCAAATGATTTTCGAAGCCTGAGTAGGACACTTTCAACATGTTGCCTGTCTCCCACCTGCCATGATGTGATCTGTCCTCAGTGAACATCTCCCATGGAGGGCTCTCCACTGCACCTGGCCCGCCTACCTGTGGGAGAAGTCTCCAGCATGAAACTTTGCAATAAACTTCTGACACATTCGGTCAGGCACAGCATCTTCTCCACACAAACCACAGATCTTTTCTTGCTTTACAGTTGCCCTTGTACCTTTCTTGGAAAGACTAAGCCAAAGGGGCAGAAAATGTTCCTTATGTTCATGCTTCTCTGTGAAAATGGCCAAACATACATTTACCACTTGTAGTGATATTTTTTCTATCACACACTGATAGTACACCTGTCGTGATACAGTCTCACATGATGGTTTCAAATAGTTAAAGACAAGTCATGGTATCCACTGCAACCCCAAGCCCTAATCCTAACAATGCACCATGCCATGCACCAGACACCGGACTGGGTGTCCCAAGCCTGTCCCTGACTCCAGATGCCTGACTCTGGACATCATACTCCACAGAATAGTCTTTTCTCCTACTTAAACCTGTAAACCCTTGAAATGTAATCAACTCATATCTAAAGCCATAAAACAGGTTTCTGTGAAACAAGTTATATTAAATCAAGCAAATTAGATAATGCAGTGATGACATACATAAGACCTGAGATGCATGAGGCTGCTGCTTCCATATCAAGGCACACCCTTCCAAAGCAAAACTGATGAAAGTAAATGAGTAAATGTGGTGTCCTCCTGATTAAACAATTCTGGGTAGCAGGAGAAGCTATCCATAGCGTAAGAAGACCACCCACGGAATTGAAGAAAATGGCTGCACATTATACTTTCGATCAGACTCATTCTTCCACAACAAAGAACTTTATGAGTCATCAATGAAGAGACACCTGTTCCTCCGGCCCGCGGAGCAGTCAACTGGAGCTCGACCACCTACCTAGAACAAATGGGTTGGGGGGACAAGAGGCGCGAAGAATGGCAGCAAGACAAAAGATTCTGATCAAGCTGCAAACTTTATTTTTCCGAACTGGGTATATACATAGGGGAGGAGGGAGAGATTAGGTTGCTTGCTATTGGCTAGCTTGAGACAAAGAAGGGCCTGCTTATTGGTTACTTGGGTGCAACTGGTACTCGTGGACACCTCATGTGCCTGTAGCCGATTGGCTTGTGGAGCGCACAGGTTCCTGTAATCAACGCAATGTTTTTAGCTAGAAGCCAGGTGTAAGGTTCCCAACAACCTGTATTATTTTAAACATTTTATTTATTATTTTTAGAGAGGGTGAGGGAGGAAAAAAGAGAGGGAGAGAAACAATCAATCTGTGATTGCCTCTCACATGCCCCCTACTGGGAACCTGGCCCTCAACCCAGGCATGTGCCCTGACTGGGAATTGAACCAGAGACCCCTTTGGTGTTTACAGGTAGGTGCTCAACCAGTGAGCCATGACACCCAGGAAGACATCTATATTATAAAAAAGAAAACTTGAATAGTCTCTTGTAATGAGAAGATATTCATAGAAGTGGTAAAAAAAAATACCAGAGAAGATGTTCAATGGCTACATCACAGCACAATACCCCTTCACAGACACTACAAAGGCTATAATGAGAAAGCAAAACTGAGAAATGTTTATGATCAGAAACTAATATTGGAACAATTGACCATTTCTTTTGAAAATGTAAAATATTGCAGACCTTGTATAAAATGGTTTGACATTTCATCAAAAAATTATCCTACTGTGTTCAAATCTACTTTGAAATACAATCTGAGAAATTGAGGACAGATGTTATAACAAACTTGTACATGATTATATATAACAGCACTGTGAATAAGAATTGAAAGGTAGAAAGTATTCAAATGTCCATCCACAAGTAAACGAATACACAAAATGTGGTTATTCTGTCACTGAAAAGGGACTGGACCCAAGGGGGGTTTGCCCTGGAAAGGTCTCACGTGTGTAGGTTCTTGACCTCCTGCAGCAAAATTTCACAACACAAATCTAGAGAATTTTGAGAGTTTGTATATTAAATCTAAGGACAGTGAAACAAAGGAAGGGCTTCAGAGAGAAGAGGCACAATCACAGCAACAAGAGTGAGCACAGGAGGAGCTGCTTCTTGAGAAACAGAAATTTAGATGCAAAGGTCCTTGGAGACAGGATCAGGGGGTGAGCCCGGGATGAGCTGCTGCTGCCCACAGCTCCCTGCCTGCAAGTCCCAGGGACCTTTGGAGATAATGAGAAACAGTGAAGATAAGCAGCAAAGAAGAGAAGGGAAGGTGCATGTGAACTCAATGAACAGCTCACACTGGGTCCTTTTTTTAGGGTTTTACCTGTTTTCTAATGTTGAGGACTTTAGAGAAGGTCTTAGAAGAGTCATCGCCACAGCATACTCTGCTTCCCAGGACCAGGAGTGTCATCGATGTGCTGATGCAACAAAACAAGCACACAGAGTGATCAGGGTCCTGCTCTGGTGACTTTCTCCTTCAGAAAAGTCACCAGAAAAGGGCTGGGACTGAGGTGGGTCTTCCCCTGTGTGATCTGGAATGTGTGAACCATTTGCTCTCAAATGTCCTTTTGTCAGGGAAGATAAGGGCCTCAGATTTATTACCTGGCTGTAAATTGCTAGGCCTTATTTAGCTATCAAATTTACTTTTTCCATTCCACTTGCCAAGGAATTTTCCTATTTTTTTTTTACAAACCTACCTCAACTCCATACACTTGTGAATTCATATTGGCATTGAATTTGTCAAAATGGTCATCTCTTGACAAACACCAGAGCCAAACTCAGGATCCTCGACACAGACCTTTGACTCCAAAACCTGCACCCTGGAGTGGACCCAAACCAAAACCAGGACTGCAAGCCCAAAGCCCCAAACCCAAAGCCTTGTGCCGTCACCCAAGCCAGACCATGAGGTCCGAAGACCAAACACCAGATGCCAGGGACTGATATTGGACCCTTAATACCAGATGCCAAAACCAAATTCACCAAAATTCACCAGATTCACCAAAACCAAAAGCTTCATCTGCACATGGACCTCCATGCAAACCCAGGACACAAAGCCACATCCTAAGAGGTACAAGACTGTAGACCCACAACCGAATACACTTTGACTCTGAAGCACAGACCCTGGACACAGGATGCAGATCTATAACCAGGACACCAAGGCCAGATTTTGGATTTGGAGCCCTTTGCCAGGCCCCTGTGGCCAGAGGCCAGAGGTAGGAGCTGAACCAGTTCCTCCCATTTTACACAACCCCGTGATTCAATAAGATAAAACCCTTGTCTCTCCCAATGCAAACTTCAAAATTTACCAAACCCAGCAGAAATAGGCCAAAAGACAGAGTCAAGAAAAAGGATGCTGACCTTGGAAGGCAGATGTCCATGGTCTCTCAGTTGCAACAGGTTCAGGAGTTAGCACTGTCTCACCATTCATTCCACACTGCCAGCTTTTCAAACCTGTGGGGAATTATTTTCCACAAAAAGAGATTATTTTCCACAAACCTTGTCGACTCTAACACCTGTGCGATAATAATTAAAATAGCACAATATAAGATATAATCTTGTATCATAAGATCAATACAAGATATTCAACATTGAATACATGCATGAGTACAAATGAATACCGGACAATGCGGTGTTATCAGGTATACAGGACCTTTGGGAGTCTGGGGAAACAGGGCCTTAGAGAGGTAAGATGGGTGATAGAGACAGGAAACTTATGAAAAGTGCAACCTTCATGGAATGTTACTTTTTGGCAGACAATCCTACGAACTATAGGATGCAAGCTAAGCTAATAAACTTTTCCAAATTTCATTAACGTAATTATTCAGTCGAAAATGGATTGCTTTGCTAAAATTGTTAAATCTTGTGGCAACAGCAGTGGACACAGCCTGGGAGAGTGACCAGCTGCCAGGAGGGCCTTGCATCGCCCACAGGGGGTCAAAGGTCTGAGCATCTCAGTCCAGTGCAGTGTGGACTGTCCTCCTCTGCCTGCAGCCAGCAGAGTGCAGCAGAGCCCATGAGTACAAGGCAAGGGACCGTGAAGCCACAACCAGCAGGCGAGCCACGGCCACATAGGTGGGACAATAACATTTGTCATCTCTAGTGACACATGACGTGGCAGCAGAAAGCCACACTTGGGACATTTTTTCAAAGGGACCATCCTGTGCTAGGGCAAGTTTTAACAAATTTCAAAGGACTGAAATTATATACAGTATGTTTCTTTCTGTCATTACTGTTAACATAGAAATTAGAAACAAAAGTTAACTAGTTAGTCCTGATATATAAAACTTACTAAATACACATCTTAATAACATTGCAATCAACATTCATTGATATTCTACTACAGTCAACCACTACCCCCCACCTGCCACTAACATGTTATTCCCAAAAGGTCCACGAGATGGCAGCAGAGATGCACACTTGGAACGCTACCATTTCCTTAGCCAAAAGGTTCATTAGATTTTTAGGTAAAGACACAATGAAAGTGACGTGTTTCGTTTTCACCAATAATTTTATTGAACAAGGTATTCACTGGTTTGTCCCACTGCTTTCTGTAGTCTTTCAGGCACTTTCATAATTCCATCTTCCCAAAAGTTTTTATCTTTTGGGGAAGACAATAAAAAGCCAGTGTCAACAAGCATCGCAGCATTGAAAGTATGTACGTTTCTCTAAGTGCTATTATTGCACTGAAGCTAGAATTCATTACGACTGGGTGACTGGAAAGGCCTTATATTTGGTAGTTATGTAATACACTTCCAAATAACCACAAAAATACAACAATTTGAATTACAAAATAAACAGAATGGGGATAAAGATACCACATACTAAAACTTATGAAAAACATCTTCGCCCTTAAATGCA